GAGAGAAATGAGTTTAAACATTATCATCTGAGTGGCAGTCTGGGCTGGCTTGATACAATTTGCATCCTCTGGTTGGAACAGTGATGACAAGACAGGGCAGGCTGGGGCAGACAGAAAGCTTCAGCTGAGCTACACTTGGCTAAATACAGTTTTCACCAAGCCCCATATACCACTGGTCTCCCACGCCACCTGGAACTGCATACAGCAGAGTAATTCTGACCAGGAGGAGATTTAATTAAGAAACTTCAGAATAAAGTCAGAATAAATCCAGGCAAGTAAGAGAGGAGAGAAAAAACAATGGGAAAATGTCTTTGTACCACTGGATGAAATAATAAATTGAAACTGAGCAGGAAATCTGACAAAAAAACAACAACAAAACCAAAACAACAACAACAAAATAACACTCAAAGATACAGGATAGGAAAAATAATAAAAAAAGAATCAGTGGAGCTGATTAACTACCATCTGGGTAGTTAATCTGATTTCAGTCAACTAAGCTTTTTTAGAATGTGTGGTTTGATCCACATGCAGACATATTTCACTGAGCTGGGAAGTGACAGATCACAACACAGGTCTGGTGCAATTCCTTCAGAAATTAATTTCTGAGCTCTCATTACCATAATGCTGCTAATATAACTAGAAGTAGCTCAGATGAAGAGAAATAAAAGTTGGTTGCTGGCTTAAATAATAATTTAGAAGATCTAGAAGCAGCTAAAGTGTGCGTGCACTCATAATGGAGAACTCATGGGATACAGGATGCTAAATTCAAGAATAATTAAGTGTAGCTTAGGAGAGAATTTATGAAAGCTGACAATAAATTAATAATACACTGGTATATGGGAAGACTCTATGATCATACATGATCCATACGTATCTGTTCCTGCACTCGATGAAAGGCAAGTTCAAATGAGAACAGGATGGCTGTTAAACAAGCATTAGATCCAACAGGAACAAGCCCCTACAACAGTAGCTGTCTCTTTCCATGTGACCTCTAATATTGCCATTCGCTTTGGTTTCACGCACGAGTCCTTGTCCTCAGGTCACTTTTCTCTTACAATTATAACCCCTGCTACAAATTGGGAAATGTATTTGCAGTTTTTCCTCAAAGTACGATTGATCATCGCATTCCTTGAAATGCCAGAAAATTGGCTTTCCTTTCAGACCATCCACTTACACACAGAAGCATTTCCAGCGCTGGTTTTCTGCTGCGACAGCTGTTTTGTAGCCAGAAGAATAGGCTTTTTTTTCAAAGTGTCAGTAATAGAAAGTAATAAAAGCATGACACATCCTGAAGCGGCTGGAGCTGCTGCCAGCACAGAGGTACAGAGGGGAGAACAACCTCTTCCCCGAGGCCTGTCAGTCACCGTGTCTCACCGCTGAACCGTCTGAGGGTCAAAGTCGCCTGTTCTCGTTATTGCCACCTGTAGTCAGAGCAGTTCGGGTTGGAAGGGGCCTCAGGGCAGGGACACAGCGCTGCTGGGGGCAGAGAGCAGCCACGGGGCAGACACCTTTGGGACCCCGGGGAGTTTTTATAGGTGCTCCAACTCTGGCTCCGAGGGACGCGTCGCTAAGTTTAACTAAAAAATGTAGAGGAACTAAAACAACCCCAAAACCGGACAACCAAACAAAACCCCCAATCAAGCCGTTTTAGGGATGGAAAATCCCTTTAATCGCACATGAACTGGGGCACCGCCCCCTCCCCC